TACGTTGGGTACGGGCAAATCCGTTATATATATAATTAACATCTCCCCAACGCAAAAAAAAAATACATCTTGAAAAAGTGAAATGCATTAATTAACATCTCCCCAACGCAAAAAAAAAATACATCTTGAAAAAGTGAAATGCCTTTATAATATTTTCATTGTCATGAAATCAAATGTTTACAGTTGTCTTTACACAGGAGATATTTTGGCTCTAGTCGTGGTGGTTTTCCACATTACGGAATTCTTCCCAATCACGTGGCCAGTCCTGTGGGCGTTCGACTGGCAGTGCTCCGTCCATCGATTTTTTCGATTTGTGGGTTTCAACAACACCGTTCTGACGATGACGGCCATCGCAGTGGACCGCTTCTACGCAGTGCGCCACCCAGTGGCCTTTCGGACCAGGTTCACTATCAAGAGAACACGAATCATCATCGGGACTTTGTGGGTGATGTCACTTGCTGCTGCCGTACCAACCGCTTTCATGTTTCAGGTGAGTATGAGCCCCGAGCTTCACCAAGAGAGGGCGCAATTTTCTTAGCAACTTGTGTCGGAACTGCACTTCGCTGGTTCACAGATGACTTTGAAATGCACGCGGCGTTACGGGCGCGTCGATACCAACAGTGGCGTAACTGCGGGGAGGGGGCCGTCCCCATAAACAACCTCTGCTGCAGCTCGTTGTCTTTTGGTGCCCCTTGAAACAATGTGTGCAACCCCAGGTGCCCCTGGACATAATAGCCCTAGCTACGCCACCGGGTGCCAGCAAAATAAATACCCCCGATCAACATGACTCGTTCAACCGATGAGGGGTGTTTCTGCTTCAGGCAGATACAAAACATTATGTACTGTGTCGGCAGACAGGACCTTCTGTTACCAGCCATTAGCAAAAAAGCCATTATAAGCACTTTTGTGCATTAGTCTGCAAGAGCGATTTCTGTATTATTTGATATACACTCGAAAATGTATTTCAAGTATGATGTATGACGGGTGTCATTTGCTTCAATTTTCTTAAAGTATTAACTGGCTCTATAAACTGTAAATCCTGAGGTTTCATGTTTGTGTAGTTTCAGCTGGTGTACCATGTGTACAGCACCATCGGGTCTGATTTGGTATTTAACATGATCCTATCAAACAGTACAAATTGAGCAGACTTATAAAGTATAATCCTGTCAAAGGTGTGATAGATTGTGATAAATTGCAAGGGGAGCCGAAGGTCATATAACTTTGTCGCAGACCATTTTGCGCGTTTGGAAAGAGTCGACACATTCGCACGTTCTGATTGGCCAATGCGTTGCAAACTCTAAGAGAATAATTGTGAATCGCCCGTATAATGCCAGACAAAGAGAAGCTATGTGCAGGTGTCTCAAATGTGTACCGTAGTTGCACCGCTGTTGAACAAAAATCATGTAATGATGCACACCGTTGACTTGTCACTGGTCTCTCTTTATCTCTCCAGAGTATCTTTGGTGGGAGTGGCCAAGCTGTGACGTACCCAGGGAAGATCCCCTTTGCCTGCAAGCTGGTTACCCCCTTCGGCAAATGGTTCAAGGACTTTAAAGCCATCTATCTTAATGTCGTCTTGTTCTACCTACCGGTTGTCATCACTGCTGCCCTCTACGTCCAAATTGTCCTCCACGTGTGGAAAAACAACAAGTTCATTCGCGCCCGCATGGGTCAGGTTCCCCATCGCAACTCGCACTGGAAAACTGCCAAGACACTCCTTACAGTTTTCGTTGTGTACGTCGCTTGTTACATCATCCTGATTACGTACAATGTGCTGGCTCCGTACGCACCGAACCTACTGTCGCCACAAGTGAAAAACGCGGGACTGCTTCTTCCTTACGTCAACAGCTGTCTCAATCCCATTGTGTACTCGTTCACCAATCCCAGTTTTCGCAAAGCATGCCGGGGCATCACACGCTGCAGGCTTGTGATCCGCGCCGATACGTCACAAACTGATGGCGTCAACAGCTCGGCAGACGACCAGCAACCAAAAGGAAACAAGGACGAGGAGTTACAGGTTCCTCCTCCAGCAACAGTTTCCGTTATTGTTGCTAACTTATTCGTGGAAGACGACAATAAACGACCTGATATGGAAGACAAAATCCCTCCAAACCTTCGTAGAAATCCTGAACGTGACACACATATGTAGCTTCTTGAATTTTTGCAACCTATATTTAAAATTTAGTCAACCTAAATGGACAGTTTGCACCAACAAACAGTTTTCATTCCTGCATGTCAAAATTAAGTTATAAACATCGTTCAACGTTAACACTAAAATACGCGTACGTTACGAGGATAAATATTAATTTGAACACCTGCAAAGCTGTTGATTACTTGGGTGCTGCAATAAATGACGGCACTTACGTTGACAAATATAGACAGGCTGTGGTTATACAGTAGCAACAAAAGTTTAATCGCTCGGTCGAGGCTAAAATCGTTGCGATGGGCCGGTGTACGTTAAAAAAATAACAATATGAAGACGACTGTGAACTTGTCACTGGTTATTAACGTGGCAATGAGTGCCACTGTTTGGGTAATAATTGATTACCCTTCAGTTTTTCAGATTAACGAGTCTGTTGGTATGTGAGAGGAGATTTTTCTCGGTTTAAATTCCTCCAGTGTTTGTTGCAGAGCAGACCTCGACAGGAGTGCCAGCAAGTTGCTGTTTTTGCCGAATCTCTGGTTATAAAAAGTTCAATCACCTACAGTCGCTTGCCATTTTGTGCAGAAATGAGATATTTAAAGTGACGTTCTGACCTGCTAATGGAACCTAATAGAAAATAGCAAAAATGAAGGCGATCAAAACAGCGGGGTTTTACTGATTATATAGAGTTCATCAATACTTTGCCTTGTATGTAATTACGGATTTTGATTGGAAGAAAGTGCAATTTAAATTGTAAATTCTATATTTTAAAAGTAGAATCAAATATATGTACATACTATTGCAACGTATTTTACCAAACTGATTACAGGTTAGACTGTGCAGTATTTACAAGTCATAAAATTGTACGTAAACTTCAGTACTGTAATGCACTGTACACGCAAAATGCACCTATTTTGTGGAGCACACTACTGTAAGGGTCATTAAAATTCAAGCACAATGTCTAGGTGCGTGTCGAGTCAAGCTGACGCCAAACTCATGTAATAGCCAAGGGTACGTTCGAGCGAGCTACTTGCGTCAACACGAATATACTCCTGAGCGCTCGAACGGTTGGAGTACGACTTGAGGGTCGGCGAGAGTATGCTCTCGCTTGAGGGGGAGTATGCGCCTGCACCTGAGTGTAATGCGCACGCATCCTGCTCGTGTTAACAGGAGTAACCACGCGAACGCGCCCTTAAATACCACACGTGACCGTATTTCGGCCAATCAGGAAGAGGTGAGTGATAATGCCTGCTGAGAAGTGATTTTGCCCGCTGAGTAAATCATGCGCTGGCACATGGATACGAAACAGTTTAATCGGGTCTGATTGGTCAGGAGTCTGTGTGCATGCGATGCGCCACGCGCACACCAAGTTTATTGAAGGGGATTCTATTGGACAACTTTCAAAGGAATATACCATAAATGGATGGTGGGTGCTGGAGAAAATGAAAATAAAATTTTAAAACAAAATCGTTGGAAATCCATCACATGTTGACTTCTTTTGACTCTCTGAATAAAAAGGTATTTATGAATGGGAATATACATGTGCTTGGCCAGTCTTAAACTAACGTTTACGACCTTGCTCAGGAGAACGAACCTGACAATGGTAATAATTAGCCGCGTCCATTCTCCTGAGTCGGTTTTAAACGCACGTTTAAGACTGGCAAGGACATATTTATTCTCTCAATACTAGTTCGCATCTGAAGCAACAAACCGAATGTTTTATCTTGAAAGACAAGTGTTGAAAAATATCTTCCCAACTCTCCCTGAATAAAAGTTGCACATGATTAGTAATGACTGATTAATAATTTCAATATATTTCGGGAATGTACTTCATCAAAAATTACGGAAGGTGGACTCAGTCATGGCACCATCGAACATAGTGATATGGGGGACGAAAAGTGGCCATCTGCTTTTCTGCTATTAGAATAATAACATGCAATTTGACTTTTCTACTTTTCTGCCACCTGATGTTATGGGTTTATGATTGATGAATTTGATACGTAAAATCAAAATTAACCCAGATGTGTGTGATCCATAGAAAGCAAAAATAAAAACAATGAAAAACCTGTATATTTTTGGTAAAAGAAAACAATAACACAGAAAGGCACGAATTTGATCGAGAATCACCACTATGTAATAAAAAATTTTCTCCCTTACTCTCAGGAACAATCTTTCTTCCTGAGAGTGCAAAATGAAAACTGTGCAACTTTTCGATGGAGTAATGCTGAGGTGGAACCAAAATTGTAAGATTGAAAAGAGACCGTAAAGCATGATGAAACTGGAGAAATTTTACAGAAAAACGACGCAAGTTAACGATTTTTGAGTAATGGAGAGTATTAACAACTTCCACTCACATCAGGCGATTCGAGAAAGAGGGTTTTTTTGCAGTGTTTGAGTCGATTTAACAAATTTTAAGAGTTAGCACTGTGTGTAGTAATATGCTGGCTGGAAAACGTCATCATCATCGCTCGAGTAGTCGTCACAAGACGAGTACGCGCTATTGTCGAATTGACCTAGTTCGAGTGGATACGTGTCGGACGTTTTCATGTTATAAGAGGCTCCATCGACGCTGATGGTCCTGAGGTGTCGGATGCCATCGCTGAAACTCACCCGGCGAAGAAGGCCTGTTCCGGGTGAGACACTTCCACAAACCGAGTCAAAGTTATTCGTGTCAGAAATATGAGCTACGGAGCAATTGCAAGAGTTCGACCTTTGGCGGAAAACCTTGATGCGGGGAGAGTCGAGGGGGGTGCCGAGGTTAGAGAGTTGGTTGGCGCCTTGCCGGGTCGTGATGTCTTGGTCGACAGAAGGGCTCCTGGAGACAGAGGGCCTTGATGATTGTGGGGTGATTGGGATATGTGAGGCTACTGAGGGAGGTCGCGATCTTTCCTTGGGCGGTACTGCTGAGGTGGAACTGGGGAGGCGGTCGCGACCGAACCTCTTGAGGTACATGCGGTAGACTCGCCTGTTGAAGATGTAAGACAGGAATATGAAGAACCCCTGAAGGAAGTAGAAGACGAAAAAGAAGTACCAGAGGACAGCGTTGTGGAGGATGGAAGCAAAGAAGGCGAGGTTCCAGGCAAACCCCATTACCGTGGCCAGCTTAGCGCACAGCGCGAAGTGACTTTGCGAGTGCGCGTTACCGGAGATGACAGCGGATTTACGGTGGTAGCGACGAAGGTTGCACACCGTCATGACGAACATGATGAGGTTGGCTGCATTAGTCACCAGCATCGGGAAGCCAAAAAAGACAGAATACGCGATTGGGTCCGAAATCCAGCAACTGAAGTACATACCATAGTCCACGTCCAAAGACGTGCACTCGCACAAGTCCAGAACAACGGACGTGCTAACAATGAGGATCGGCATGCCCCAGGCATAGAGGGCGTAACGGAGGTACTGTTTACGTTGTGAGGTGTTCAGGTTGACCTTTGTGAGGCGTTTGCGACCGAATGTTTTAAACACGTCGTACGCTATGACGTTCCCCCAGAAGAACTGGCTAAGACAGACGAAGTGTAGGAAAACGGCAACAGCTTGGCAAGTGGTTCGGTAGTCAGTAGCGTATAAGCCGAACAAGAATGTCCAGTCGTTGATGAGGAGAATCACCGCCAACGTCATCAAATTCATACCAGGAAGAGTTCTTAGTTCTTTGAACAGTGCGTAGGTGATCAAAGTGGCAGAGAGACAAGTGGTACTCAGTCCAACACCGACCATTGCGATAGTATCCTGTGCCTGTGTGAAATTAAAGTGCACCACAAACTTTGTGTCCATAACATTGTCAAAGTCACTACAGGTGAAGATCCCGCCGTCTGCCGCTTCCTCGTACTCTCCAAGGTCGTAGCGTTTGCCGTTGGAACAAACCACGGTGCCGTTTACGACGGTGTACTCCGATTTGTCGTAACGTATCCGAACACAAGACGGATCAAGCACGGTCTTGTAATCCTCACAGACCACAGCTGTCGTGAAGTCACCATCCAGTGCGCTGTCGCTCTCAAGAAACAGCCAACCAGAACAGTAGTAAGAGATGCTGGTGTTCTTAATTCGCACGCTTGAGCAGTCGCCTTGGGACTGCTCCGTTACTATCAGTTGGTCCCTGCCATACACATTTTTCACCCCGTCCGGGCATTGCTCTAAAAAGCCCGCCAATTCCTTGGTGTTACCTTTCAAGGAGGTGATGAAATCCCCTAGATTACTGGAATCGACGTTGAAGGCATATCCTGCCACGTTTACCTGCAGGGCCTGCACTTCGAAGGACAGTACAGACAGCCAAAACTTGGAAGCGTGATCCAGGGTGGAGTTCTCCGAAACCTGGTCCAACAATCCTATAAACTCGAGGATTTCCGTAATGCCCCAGGTTACATTGCCTCTACCGACCACGAAACTTCTCATTTTGATTTCGCTCCCGGGATCGGTAAAGTTGAACTCGTCAGACTTGTTTCCTGGGAATGGCTGCAGGAAGTCATCAGGGTCTGTGATGTCTCCGTTTTCGTCGACAAACCACGTAAATTTCACCGTGATGGTAAAAGTCATCAGAATAGATGTATTGAGAAAGCATAATGTGACGTCTTCCACTGTTGGATGTGGTTCTTTGACGCACTTGTTTGCACTCATGGCGTAACCAGCGGCACAGTATGTCACTCGACACTTGCCGATGTATGGGTCGAAAACTTCCGTGCCAGGACACGTGATATTAATTGGGACCAACTCATTAGAACCATCCGTTTTCAAAATCATTACATTGGAGCTGTTTCTTAAGTTGTAATTGGTGATGACGAGGTAAGAAGGCATTGGGTGGCTAGCTTTGACGTTCCTGACGTTGACTGAATCCACATCTGTGAAGTAATCATAGTAACTGACATTATCCGAGGTATACCGGGACAGAGCCGGCACATCGCAGGACATCTCATGTCGTTTGACGCCGTTGCACAAGGCACAGAATGGGTTTTTAAAGATGGTGGAATCAGCCGTATCGTTCTCTCTTCGGACTAGTCCTTGATACTCCAGTGTGCATCGCGACTGAAATTCCGAGAACTCACTGCCTACCTCCTGAGCGAAATCCGGGTTGCACCAGTCCACGTTCTGGAGACAGAACCTTGGCTTGGCCACGTCTTCGACTCTTGGCTCGTTCACCAGGGTTCTGCAGTTCGATTTCAGGTAGCTCGCCAGGGACACCATGTTTGTGCCGAAGTCTGGGGGTGGTTCTTCATAGCATACTGAGAGCCCAATCCAATAAATGAAATCGACAATGACCCAATTGCACTGCGCACAGTACATGTTTCTGTAGGTAAAGCCGTCCTTACCTTGGACGGGTAAACGAGCGAGGGTGTCGCCACCGTGGACATCTGCACACATTTCCTCCATACGAGAATCAGTCCATCTCGGGTCACAGGTGGATTTCATCCAGACCATACCATCAGTGAACTCTTCCACTCCAATGCAGTCGAAATTGAGTTTCGATCGGAGGGAAGCGCTCGAGAGATCCTCCGAATTTCCAGCCTCCTCTGTGGAAAAGGGAGGGGATGTGGGTCTTCGCCCTTGTCGGACTGGCTCCTTCAAGTTGGTTTCGTTGCTGACATTCTCAGAGCACAGTTCAAGGAAGTCCATACAGCAGTCTTTGAAGAAAGGACAGCGGTGGTCGCAGAAACAGCGATACGCTTGGGCGTCGTTGGCGAAACTACCGCACCTTCCCTTGCACGACTCTTCAGGCCCGCAGAGTGGAATTTGGATGTCAGCCCCGGGTTGTGGCAGCGACTGGTCAGTCAGAAAGCGGCGTTTTACGGACCTATTTTCGTTCCTGGAGACGAGGGCGGTAGTGCTACCGTTTCTCTGTAGAACACCGCACAGATTTGGCGCCAAAATAACAAAGGCGATGACGACGAAAGCTACACCACAACGCGCCATTGTGAGCCTCAAACACATCTGCTTGATGTGGCAAGCTATTTGAAAATGCTTCTTCACAAAAAAGAACATAATGTCTCTGAAAATAAAAGTTGCAATAATACTGGTTTCAGTGGAAAGCTGACAGCTGGTAGCTGGGTGATAATCTTGGCTTACAATAAGCGACTGGATTGTTCCATTGTTAACCGAGGGTTACTTCGTCGTCGTTTACAGATAAATTGCATCAATTAAATTATATGCACACAAAAGACCCCCAAAACATTAACTTTGGTGTATGTTGAAATATACATGTAAGTGCTCACGACGGAAGAAATGATTAATGTGGTATATTTTGTGTAGAAACGGGTGTATAATCCAAAGCCGACCCCATTCCCTCAAAAGTAGGAGCGGCCCACGAAAGTCAATATACGATTGGAAAGCTACTCTCAACCGCGCGCTGTTCACGTATGTTCAC